ATCGCCGTTCGAAAGTGACTCGCCAAGTCAGCCGGTTGTTCGTAGGTGAGGATGGCTTTCAGCAGACACAGTGTACGATACATCACGAGGTCCTCGGCAGGCAACCAGTTCAACTCGCTCAACACATCACGCACATGTTCCCGCTTTTTCCGCCCTGACACCACTCTTGCGCAAAAGTTTAACAGTTTCTGAATGCGCGTCACTGAGTGTGTAGTTGAGTTTCCGTATACAACAATGCAGTATCGAATCAGAGAAATAACCACTCACGATCACTGGTAGCACACCTTCAGGTAAACGATGCCTCGCATGGCTCAAAGCTATAAGTAGCCCGGTGCACTTTGCAACCAGTTGGCTGACATGCGGTTCAAAAGATAAGTGTCGGTCCATAACCAGCCCCAAATTCTTTACTCGCTCAACCTCCTGCACAGTCACACCATTTACTTTAATGGAAATCTTGGGAAGACCCTGGAGCATATGACGTGTGCCAAAAACGATAAGTTGAGTTTTGCTAGAGTTAATTTTCATCTGATTTTGGGTGAACCACTGGAATAAAGTGCACAGGGCCAACTCCATGCGCCGAATGAGACTCGCAATGTCACGCTTGTGTCCAGTAACAAGAATCTGAATTCAAACGCTCCTGAAGAGCGCGAAACAACATACGTTATTTTACGACATTTGAGTTGTCACAGTAGGCTTGCCCAGACTGACTGGCGCCCCTAGTTCGCCCAACGTAGTTCGCCAATGTGACTCGCCAGCTGGGCCTGAAACTACAGTCCGACGATCGAGGCATACCAATACTCCAGCGTACGGTTGTAATGACTGTCAATTATCCCGTGCGTGATGTCATCCCATTATTAGGCCCACGCGACAATAAAATGCTATCGCACATTCAGAACCTTAAATGATATATGACTGAGTTTATGTGGTTACATTTATGTGCGATCCAATCAGCCAACTGAACCTATTAATAGCATCCCTGCACGAGGTATGTCATTTTCTATCTTATCTCATGTTTCAGATAGTTATTATAGAGCCGGCGGCCAGTGAATCTTTTTCGGCAGCGACAGCGATCTCCCGGACGCGGGCTCGTCTCCCGGAGCCCGGAGCCGGTCCGATCGGGGCTGGGTCGGTCGGGCCGGCGGCGGTGGTGGCCCGGGTGGCCCCCTCCCCCTCCCCCGGACAGCCCCGCCCCTGTCTCGTGCCGCCGCCCAGACGGCCGTCCGCGCCGGCCGAGAGCCATCGGGTGACGTCATCGCGGGCCATCCCTCAGGCCCAGTTGGCAGCGCCGAGCGGCCAGTGACGTCACGACCCCCAATGACCGGTGCCGACATCTCCCGGGTGGGTACCGAAACCCGCCCAGCACTGTTCATATCGCCCCAGGCCACTCAGGAGCCGCCGGTTTCAAAGTTGCCCGAGGCCTGAGCCGTAGTCAAAAGCTCTTTGCGGAATTTTTCAGCCAAAGAGAATCACCGCCCTTGACTGCGCATAAAGCAAACAGACTTGAGACTTGTTCGACAGGCATCCGGCGGTCCATTCAGAATAAAATGGCTTCATTGATTCGTTGTTAAGACGTCTAGACGAGCAGCGATTTAGCCTTCATGACGATGCACTTGGCGTGGGTGGAACACTGCAATGTGCGGGGGCGAAACTGGCTGTCGAGCATAATGCCAGGAGAATGCATGTCTCAGTCTCATAACTCAAACAGCCACCCAGATAAAATCAAGAAGTAGCCCAAATATGTCAACTAATTAGTCCTTTTTAGTTGAAAGCGGAAACTGGTTATAGGATCGTTTATCAGAAGAGTGATTTAGCAGCGCAGTGGTTTTGACATTTGAATATATAATTCTTAAGATGATCAAAAGCTTTCGTAAAATATGAAAACTCCATCTAGCTTATCAGACAGCATTATAATTTAGAAGCCCTGACAATATTTATAAAATACACCTCATCATGACAATCAGCACTGAACATTCACGTCCATGCCTGTGCGTGCAAATAGATAACAAAACATATCTACTTAGTTGAACAGTGGAGGTGCAGTATTTTCTCAGGTCAAAAGCCCTTGCCTCGGTCTATTTACCGCCTATACGCTGCTCTGTAGGTAGCCCGATGCGGTTCGCAGCACGCCAGTCTCCCTGCACACGGAAGTGACGACAGACACATGGGTCTCGGGCCTGTCGAGCGACCTGTCCTGGGGCTATATCGGGCCGCGAGCGCATCGCCACCCCGCGAGCGCCGTCTCTCGTTGAGCGCAAATAGATTGTGTTTGCACCACGTGTCTTCACAGACGACTGCTGCCCGATACTAGGGCAAGAAAACAAGCTACAACCGACGCAGAGATCTCGACGGTCTAATTCAACACCGGCCTGCCACGTTGAATTCATGATAGCGTAGCGTCGAGATTCGGGACTGGACATGTCGTCCTACCCTATAATAAAAGCCGAACTTCGTCCCAGATGTGGGTGACTCAGGACTAGGGGAAATTAGGCCGCCCTTGACCTGAATTGTAGGAAAGGCACGTAGCACTCATCCGGTATAGGAAATCGGAAAGTGGCAGGGCAAAGTGACTTGGATGACAGGGTGTGGAGAAAGGGAGATCGGAGAGAGGGGGAGAGAGGAAAAAGAGGAGAGAGGAGGGATAGAGAAGAGAAAGAGATGAGGGAAGAGTGAGTGAGTGAGTGAGTGAGTGAGTGAGTGAGAGAGAGGGAGAGGGGAGAGAGAAAGATGAGGAGAGAGAGAGAGAGAGAGAGAGAGAGAGAGAGAGAGAGAGAGAGAGAGAGAGAGAGAGAGAGAGAGAGAGAAAGAGACAGATACAGAGACAGAGACAGAGCAGGGGAGCGGACGGCGCGGAGGGAGGAGGGTGCGCACCGTGCCCGTGCCGCGAGGAGCGGCTGCTACGGCGGCGGCGGCCCGACCGGCCGTGCTCGTGGGCGTGGCTCTGATGAGATCCTGCAGCACCATTAATCAATGGGGGCGTGATGATAACGGGCTTGATATGGCCGTAATAGGGCGTGAAAACAGGTGCGGAACGCCGTGCCCCGCCCGTGCCCGCGACACGTGCTCAGCTTGGGATAGATCGAGATAGGCATCGAGGGTACTCTTCAAAAATAAATAACGTAACCGAGCGAGTGGGTCACAAGAACGACACAATACCCAATCGCCGTACCGCGTTTCACTTGAACCCGTTGACCGGTTGTGAACTATACGGAAAGCATGATTGATTAGTATGCCCGACAGGCTAGGAGAACGGGAACCATTTGTTCATGTTTCGGGCGCTGGGAGCGAGCTGCCCGATCCCTCTAGGACCGACCGAGTCGACCCCACCAGCTCCCCACCGGAGAGATGTAGCGATTGGTCGTCAGAAGGCACCCAGTCGCCAATGGGTTGAATCGATTGCTCGGGTTAGGGAGGGGGAGGGGCGCCTCCCTTGGAGGTCATTCGGTCACGTGAGGTCTGCAGAAAAGGGGTCGGGGGTCTGCTCCCTAGTAGTCACGAGGTCACGAAAGCGCGAGATAAGAACATGACGTGTCAAGTCAAGTCGTTACCAGGGCCGAGTAATTTAGTGTATCAAAGAAGTTATAATTATGCGAAACGATGAGAAAACAATAAAAAAGCTGTGGCGTTTACGATGCACCACATGCTGAATTCGAATTTTAACATTATTGGGAAAACATTGCACTGTAGTTGTTGTTGTAACGCAACAAATGGCTCACTGTAATCTATTGGTAACAGTAGCAAGAAAAAGTGGCTATTGTTAGGGAAATGCTGTGGTCCCTTATAAGCTATATAATAATGTTGGACAAAACTATTATTGGGAAACAAAAAATGTGTGAATGATATCATTTTTTACTCTTTTTTAAGCATTGATGATGCGAAAATTTTATCTTTAAATGTTTCTGAATACAATGCTAAGTTGCAAAACAACAGAAATCACAGAACAAGCTTTATATCGTCTCACATTTTAAAAAGAAAAGATGACTGAAAGCTGCGTAATTGATTGCAGACTGGATAGGTATGCTGTAAGTCATGTACCTACATTCCCATCATTAAGCCCAGTCTAGTAACCTACTAGCTGTAACCTACTAGCTGAGCCTAACAGGGCTCTATAAAGCAGAGGAGAGTTGGGTGCTCCCACATTGGCGAACTCTACTTTCATTGAACCGTGCCTTGAAACCACTGAGAAACGAAGATGCCAGCATTTATCACTTCCGGCGGCATAGCTGGAGGACTTATTGAAATAAAAACCGGCACCTTGCAAAATCCTTAATCCACGGAATAACGACTCAAGAGTCTGCGGAATGTCTCGGCCACTTATCATTCACTAATGATCCTTCGACCTGCTAATGTGCAAGCAATGCAGATTCACTCACGTACAATAGCTTCTCGCTATCTATTACTTTCGATAACTAATTCTTAATGAAACTACCAATTTCAATTGATGACACTGAGTTTTTTATCTAAATTGACAAGTACGCCAATAAACTTAAGCTGATAAAAGTAAACTGCTGGACCCTGTGTGAAAGATTGCGATAGATTCCGAACTTCTTTACTCGCTTTGATACCTATCCATATCACTTATCAGGACTGTCGGAATAGGAAACAGTTTCCGCGATTCATACGAGAAGTTGCTCTTTTTATCACAGTGAATTATCCTGCTCCCGAAAGTCAACGCTGACCTTTCTCCTGCTTTAATTGACTGATCAATTCGATATGCCGTTATCTCTACCTCCATTCTTTGACATTTCGCAATCGAAGTGGTCGGTTACTTTTCACCTGCGTTAGCAAACACCTAACTGGTGACCGACACTGACCCCGGTAACCCGTCACTGGCCCATGTTGACCCATCACTGGCCCATGATGACCCGTCACTGACCCATATTAACCCGTCACTGACCCATATTGACCCGTCACTGACCCATGTTGACCCATCACTGACCCTTGATGACCCATCACTGACCCCATGTTGACCCGTCACTGACCCCCGGTGACCCGGCACTGACCTGTGAGCGGCAGCACAGTCAGGGTGAGCAGAACCGCCGGAGTCATGACGTTGTCAGCCGGCCGATGCGATTGTGGACGTCGCCGTCGCCGGCAGCCGCGCTCGTTATATAGGCCGGCCTGCTCGGCAGCGGTGCGCGCGCGCGGCCGCCCGCCCCGCCGACCGGGACACACTGGCCGCCGCGCCGCCGGCCGGTCACAATAGCTCGGCCAGAACAGCCAATAGAATCACCGGCTCACAGAGGGGAAGGTCGCAGCTGGGCCCGCGGACTCAATGAGGATTCCAGTCCGGATTAGAGGGGTGCTCAGGTGGCGGGCCAGCGAGGGTTGAGGACCGAGACATGTGGCCGTCGCGTGGTTTCAAACAGCGCCGCGGCAGATCGAGCGCGGCGGTATGTTCAAAGAGTGGTGAGTAGCACAGGTAAGCAATTAGCTGTTGGAAACGCGAAGTGTGATGTTACATGAAGATGGCGACGAAATCTATGTATAGTGTATTTGCTGATTCAGGCGTTTATCCTTACTATTAATGTTGATTATCAACTAATAGCTTAGCTCATAGCTCATCGCTTATCGATAATTGATGATTATCAACTTATATGTAGCCTATGTTCATAGAAACATGTATGTAGATGTAGATATAGTTCAAAAATCAATAAACATTCCCAATATCACTAGCGCATCTCATAAGCTGTTGTCTGATTCCGTGATCTGCGCATTAGTCATTATTTTCGAGGCATACCTAATCAGAAGCATTTACACCAAAGCAATCAACGGCTTAGGTGTTGTCTTTGATTATTTACAACTTTCCAAGACAGTAAGTTTATTATATAGCAAAATCCTAACAATTCTAGGATTGCTCTGTCGTAACAAGATTCGGAATGAAAAAAAATAATGTTATGGAATTCGAATAATTTTGAACGCCACAATGTTCTTTGTGAGCCAATAATTCCTGTTGGTGCACTTCTATCAGCAAGCTCAACCGAACATTCTCAGTGAAGCAATCAAATTTTCACTTGTTCCAGGGATGAAGGCTCAAGAAGTCCCTATCATACTTAAAAATACCAACTGAATCATGACGTGCGAGCTAGCCAAACAAAATTAAAGGAAAACTTCAAACCCTTTGAAATAACTATAAACGTTCAAAATTTTGTAAAAATGAAACGAGCTATCCGAAACAAAGAAAGTCTTTGATGTTCAGTCTTGTTCATGTATCTGTTCTCAAAAGGCTGAATGATGTAGGTTATAATTGGAAAGACCATAGGTAGAAAAAAACTTTAATAAACCTTTCTAAACCGTCTGCGTTTTAAAAAGTAACAGAAAAGTACGATCCGAGGGGCATCATTTTTTGTTTTGTTAGTTCTCATACCGTGTGGGGAAGGAGATGGGGCATACAACTTCATACCTTCAACAGGGGTGATTATTATGGCTAATAGAACATACCGACAATTTAGTTTATTTACCCCAAAGGGGTCTTTTCATTGGTAACTTCATCAGGTTTCGCCAGCCGGATAGTTAGATGCTTGCTTTCAGTGAACGAGCGAGCTTCGATAGTTAGAACAAATAAGTTTATAATTCATTTTTCCTGTTACCAAGGAAACAAATAAAACCCACCTCACTCCAGAATAATCAAGTTACATTACAAAAAAGATTAAAAACACGTTTCATCATTTGGTACCAGCTTTCACGTTGCACAGGTGCATAGTTACATTAAATGATACCAGTCTTTACCCGGCTGGAACATCATCTGAGCTCTATGAAGCAAGCCAAGTTTTTATCGACATGCCAGGAAAAGAGAAACACGCCACCAGCTACTACCTGTATCCATGCTAATTTATTGTATTTACAGTGTGTCAAACCTCTCGATGTTGTGGCTGAGTGCTTAGTAAAATAGAGCAGATATTCACTGTCTAGCGAATCAGCCCCCTCCCAAAAAGTTTAGTTTAGTTTAGTTTAGTTTATTTAGCATATCATCCACGGGTAAGATGACCCATTTATAGACAAAGTCATCAGAATAAAAACACACAAACGCAGCAAGGTGAATAACAATGCAAAACAGACACAATATCGACACAAACACACCTCTGCTGGTCTACTTCTCGCGCACATAGGTGATCACATGCTTTTTGAAGTTCAGAGCGCTGTGGTTCCATATGTCAATGGCCCGGTTTCGGTCGAGAAACGCGTTACAAAGCTTCGGCAAGCGACAGAATGGACTATTTCTGACCGTGTTGACCCGAGCATACGGCACATGGAACAGCGTCCTATTCCGGAGCGGGCGAGGAGGCACTGCCAGCGGAAACTGTTCCAACAGGTATGACGAGTCCACAGCATGACGGTGAATGTTGCGGATGAACATGATGTCATGCTGTTCACGCCGCGCTGCGAGAGGGGCCATGTGGAAGCGCTTCATCAGGGCGTCGTACTCAAGGGACACGTCTGTGTCTCGACATCTACCGCTCAGCCACATCAAAAACTTATGCTGAACGCGCTCAGTGCGTTTCATGTGCGTCTCTGCCGCCCCTCCCCACACCACGCCTGCGAACTCGAGAATGGAACGAACATTTGCGCAGTATGAAGCCAGCACAGCCTTTACATTGCACTCACGGAGTGACCTGCCACGCTTGCCAGTTTGGAATGATCGCATGAGCACGCCTAGCGCCCTGTTAGCCTTACGAACAGTAACATCTACATGTTCACCAAATGTTAGCTTCTCATCAAGGTACACACCCAGGTCTCGCATCACACCAACTCTCTCCAACTGCTCGCCTCCCACAGTGTACACACCGACAGTTGGAGCATGCCGAAGTGTTAACGTTAACACTTTACACTTGGCCGGGTTTAGTGTGAGTCTCCATAGTGTAGACCAACTATGCAAACTGTCCAACTGCCGCTGTAAGAAGTTCGCATCAGCAGGACAGTCTACCTTGCCATACAGCTTGACATCGTCGGCGAATAGCACACAATCAGTTTTCACGCAGTCAGGTAAGTCGTTAATGAAGCAGGCGAACAGTAACGGGGAAATTAGTCCGCCCTCCGGGGTGCCTGACGGTGCCGACGCGCACTGCGAACACTTGCCCTTCACAACAACGCGCTGCTCTTTCCGAAAGGTACGACTCAAACCATGCAAAAGCTTTGCCTGAAATTTGATATGAATTTTTGAGTTTGTGAAGAAGTAGTTTGTGGTTAACACTTTGGAAGGCAAAAAAAAAAAAACTTGAGGAATGAGTGAATAATTGTTCAGAGTAGATGCCCTTCTTTCCTGCTGCTGATCTTTCCATATGTACAAGTAACAGGCATTGATAATTATTTCATAACAGCAAAAATGCTAACCAACGCACATGCGATCAAATATTACACTGCACGTTAACCCTCGCATGTGTAGGGGGGGGGGGGGTCGGATGGACCCCCCCATGGTTTTTCGCGAATAACTCGCGTAAAAAGCGGCCGATCGCAACGAAACTTTCAGTACCCTCGCATTGATCAATTTTACACCTACCCTGAAAATTTCATGACCCTGACCCAAATGACCTTTGACCTGTGACCTCTTTTCCGAGACCATGTTTGGCCGGAATCGCGATTTCGCGTATGTCGGCTCGCACTAGCCGCTTGTTTGCAAGCTTTTCGTGGTTTCAAACGTTCAAACATGTGATTTGATGTTACTCCCGTGTGTGTCAAGGTCACCTGAAGGTCAGGTCAGGTCATTGACCTTTGGTGACCTCGGGTGACCTCGGGTCACTTTTTCGAGTTTTACATGTTTCTAGGCTAGTTTTTTGAGCTGAATTCGAATTTAGCAATCATTTGAACATTTACGAAGTAGTTTTGGTGACTTCGTAACATGTTACGAAGCTGTCAGAGGCGGTTGACACGTACTACGAATACCCGTCACGACGCCTACTGGTTGACCTGACCTGACCTGACCCGACCTGGTCTAAATGCTTCAAGACATCATCTGTGATCAAAACTAACACGATATTCGTGATCAGCACCCCGAAAAACCCCTTAGCAGCCACACTTTACGACTTTCTAACAGGTCCCGATTTTCCCGACTTTGGGTCATTGACCTGACCTGGAAGGTCAACCAATGACCTAGGACCTTAAAATTGGGTATCATCGGCTTCCTCTCGTCACGGGCAACACGCTCGTTTTTTCCGCGAAGCTCTAGCTCGATCAGGGGCCAAACGGCAAGGGGGGGGGGTCCAACCGACCCCCCCCCCCCCTACACATTAGAAGCTGGCAAACGCCGCACACATGCGAGGGTTAACTGGCGAGCCCTAACATTTACACAGGCTGCGGTGAGCGCCGTTGCAGTCCCCGCCGAGCACACTGATTGTATTCGGCGACATCACGCGGAGCTGTCGCTCTGTCTACGCTGCCGAGCTGACGTCTGCTGTCGCCTCGAGCAGGCCTAGCGACCCGGCCTCAGACCCGGCTGCAGGCCTGCCGGCTCCGTCTGTCTGTCTGTCTGTCTGTCTGTCTGTCTGTCTGTCTGTCTGTCTGTCTGTCTGTCTGTCGGTGTGTCGGTCTGTCAGTCTGTCGGGACCGATGCGAGCCCCGGACCCAGGCGAAGAGCGCCGCTCGGCTCCAAGGAAAGAGATGGCGTCAACAATTTGTTGCTCTCCCGATAGGCCTGTGACTCGGCGCCTGGAGCCGAGAGGGGCGTCAGCTGACTCGTGAGGCCCCCGATCGACCGTCGTCCCAGGGCACGCAGGTCACCAGGGGTCACCGGGTGCTCGGGGCCATGAACACCGATCAGGCCGCCCCCGCGCCACAATAGTAGCGGGGTAGGTCCGCCCACACACCCAGCCAGGCACGGACCCTGCGCGGAGATGGGAGTCGGCTGCCAGCAGGCGGGTTGTTGTAGTTTTGTGTTTGAGAACAGGGCGGGAGAGTACTGCTGGTATAGTGATGGTTATTGGTTAGATGCGTTATTAATATTTGAGGTATGTGGCTTGAACAAAAGCTGTGTTATCTTATCATCAAGTACTCAGGTAAGATACGTTTTCGTGGACGCCTGCTGTGTGCATTTGTTGTTCACCACACAACTGCAGCAATTGTCAAAAGACGCCAAAAATAATCGGATTTATAAAGTGAAGGAAATTGAACACAGTTTGCTGACAAATTATCTACTGGAGTACCAAGACTGTATAGGCAACACAGCTACACTGCTATTGTATATCATCAAAAACCAACCAGTTATCGTTCGATAGGAATGACGAGAATACATCAAAATAAGATAAACGACAGTGCCTAATAC